AGAAACATTATGTCCCTTTACAGGAAGTGTGGAAAAAACTGCGTTTAAGCGACACTACTCGCCCGTTTCTGAAGCGGGATAACCCCCAGTATAAAAGGTCGAAAAATACTTTAGCCTGAGCTAAAGTTATTTCGCTCTAGGAGGTGGTTCAGGTCCGCTTCAGACCCGAGCTAACGTCAGTATAAAAAGTATCTCGACTTTAGCTCGCTCTAAATTCATTGACCATGACAATTACCCCGGTCTCGCACGCAACTCGGGTGGTCGAGAACGGCAGTATAAAACGACTTATCCCGAGCTAATTAAAGTTATCCCGCTTCAGAAGCGGGCTAAAGTCGTGCGCAGTATAAAACAACTTATCCCGAGCTAAAGTTATCCTGCTTCAGAAGCGGGCTAAAGTCGTGCGCAGTATAAAACAACTTATCCCGAGCTAAAGTTATCCTGCTTCAGAAGCGGGCTAAAGATGTGCGCAGTATAAAAGGGGTATCAGTCCATATAAAATATATATACATATTTTATATGTACACAATGTATATATATATATATATATAATGTACAATCTGACACAATATATGCTATTCCTAGTTCTGGAATACATCTTGTTCTTGTGTATAATTAATGTTAAAGTATTGCATATACCCAGCCTGTGCATATAAATTTAAATATTTATAGATAATTATTTTGACCTCCGCCAAGGAGGTTATGTTTTCGCCCCTGTTATAGTTTGTTTGTTTGTTTGTCTGTCAACAGGATATCTCAAAAAGTCATGGACGGATTTTGATGAAATTTTTTGGAGGGGTTGGTCTTGGGCCAAGAACCAATTATCGATTACATTTTGGTGGTGATCCAGATCCAGATCTGGATCCAGGATTGTTTTAAAGGATTTTTCATCATTGTTGGTAGTGTAGCGACTAGCCCGTGACTTTATGTCTACTGTATTCGCCTGGTGTGTCTAGGGGTTTAACTTTATGATGTGTCACCGCCGTGTTAAACCCGACAAAAAAAACGTTAAAGCTTCCAGCAAGCAAAACTCTATAACTACCAGAAACTCAAAATAAACCCAACACTTCCTAAAAACAAAATGAAAACTGAAAATTTCATCAAACTATATTGGGTGTACCAGCAAGATGGGGGACTGTTAAGCTGTGGCGGAGGTTTGCTAGATCTCCGATTGCTCTTGTTTATTTTAATAGGTTTGCACCATATACATTTGTAGATATATTCTGACCACATTTAAATGGCACCTGCTTCGTGTTACATTTATTTTACCAAATGTAATGTTCGATTCCAAAAGAATGCATAATTTGGATGCCCTAAGACCTCCATAGCAGCAGTATTACAAGTATGCTGTATACTTTTTAATTCTGCCTCCTTGTTCTGCCTCTCCTCAAATAAATTAACTTACAAATGTTTTACTAGTGCATACATCGTGTGATTACGATGCTTTTGCCTTTGAGATATTATCATGTGCTTGACTTCATTTAAACTATATTCTTTTATAATTCTATTATAATTTCTTTTATCGTATTATTCTTTTATAAATTCTATAGCTTTTGTTGCTCAAGAGTATTTGAGGATGTAATCGTATGAAGAATTTATTGAAAGAGAGCCAAGTAAATGCTAATAGGTACTAAAATGCACTGCCCCCCCCCCACTACCACATTAACATGTTGAACACCCTCTTTACACATTTCTTGGAACATTCTTGTGATGCACTTCCCTGATCAGGCATGTACTCGTGGATAAGTGCTAATCGCATACATGTAGTAATGGGGTAATTATAGGCATTGAATCTGCTTATAGCTGCAGTTGGTGTCAGTGTATACCGAGGTAGCTTGCACTATGACAGGAATGCCACCAAATCATTGAAATGTTTATTATTGAAGACAATAGATTTTATGTAAAACAAGACATTAAAAATTCCATTTCTTAATTGGTGTGAAGTGCTATGCAGGTAAATTCGTTCTAGAATTCTGTAATTGCGGACATCACACAGCAACTCACATATATATAGCATTTTTACAACATCTGTTCTCTAACTGCAGTACAGATGGACAATGTTCCATTAGAACCACTAAGTTCTATTCTTGTAACATGGGCAGGAGAGTACATTTTCTTCCGAGTCGAATATCAAATAGCACACTGCTTGACCTGCAATGCTGCCAGGGTTGATAGGCAAGGATATTTGGTTATCTAGGCCAAACCTTCAGGTTTCATGCATGCTTAATGCAGATACTCTTCAATGAATACTAAGGTGTTATGATCAGAAAGGTTTAACTATTGATTCTGATATCAATTTATTTCACTTCTATCATAAACAATATATGATATCAATAATGATTCTTATCCATTGTTCTACATCGTTTAGTGGCTTAATTGAAATACATTTAGAAATCTCTTTATGGTATAGCTGTACGTCTTATCTACCGTTATTTGATTGAAAATTATATTGTCTGTCAGGTCACCATCAGCTTTGTCATAAAAATTCACACATTTAACAATTCTATATTTGCACCTCTGGCCAGTTAGGCAGTAGGGCTAGTGCATGTAACTAGCATGCTCTCTGTTGCTGAGGCAGGTTCCTGTAGGAATTGTTAAACCTGTGGTGTTGGTCTTGGCCAGAAAGGTTCCTGCTAATGTAGATATCCATCGCAGAGACTGCCACCGAATATATTTAATTGTTTTGCATTCTTCTTCTTGCAGTTTGCCACAGTGGATGCGAACAAGTGGAGGCGATGGGGTGGGAGTCGCTACCAGATATACTTCTAGAGGATATCTTCGCCATGGTGAACATAAAGAGTCGTTACCGAGCCTCACTGGTAACTGGCATTGATTTTCTTTATTGTAGAATTTTAGCAAGCACATGCGCAAGTATATATATATACAATTGGATATTGCAGTTGTCTTAATTGTTAAAAATTAATTACCCAACTGATAGTAAGGTTAACCCTAACCCTAACCCTAACCCTATCCATCTGCAGCTAAAAAAAATGCAAATAGTGGAAAAAAAAAATGTATTTTTACTTTAACTCAATTACGACCAACAATTTTGTGGTCCCCCAAAGTCATAGTATCACTCTTAGCTACTTACTAGATACCCAGTCGTTGCACTGTTGATAAGTAGGGCAAGATCCACATTCTGTATTCAATTACATACAGTGTACATTCAAGAAATGATAAAGAAGCAAACCACTTTGAGCACTGAGCTGCCTTTGCCTCTTGTAGCAATGGAGACGCACGCATAACGTTATGTGCTATTGTCATACGGTCATACCACCCTGAGCCTCGTCCCTACCAGGGATAAAATTTCGTTTTTTTCACGGGAGCTTTTTTTCAAGTCTGTGGCAAAAAGAGCTCTCGTCAATAATTTTACTGGAGCTATTTTGAGCCTCACGAGAGCTATTATGAATTTTTTGTATATTTACATACATTCTGACACATCTACATGTATGCTCATGCAGTTCAATGACTCAATGTACTATCAACATATTCCTGACAGGCCTGCCTCCCTGAGTATATGAATAATACATATTGGAAAAAATCACTTTGTACATGTGTTTGTGTGTGTGTACAATGTACATGCATGTGTGGGTGTGTAGGCACTGGCCCACTGCAGTGATTTTTAGCTCCGCGTTGAAAACGGAGCTCATGCAATCGCTCGCGTGTGTGTGTTCGTGTGTGTGTGTAGCAACGATCGATAGCGCGTCGAGTTAGCGAGTGGCGAGCCAGCAGCAGCCACCAGTGAGCGGCGAATCGATAGCGCGTCGAGTCAGCGAGTGGCGAGCCAGCAGCAGCCACCAGTGAGCGGCGAATCGATAGCGCGTCGAGTCAGCGAGTGGCGAGTCAGCAGCAGCCACCAGTGAGCGGCGAGTCAGCAGCAGGCGAGTCAGTCAGCAGCCGCCACCAGCGAGCACATACATGTTACATGCTCGCGGAGCTATGCACTCTCCGTGAGTGCCCTCTGTCTAGTTTTGATAAGCAGTTCAAGTTTCAACAGGCTGGTTTCAAGTTTTCAACACTAGTACAAAAGGAGAAAATTTTTTTTGGTTTTTATAGATTATAGCTCATAATGAGACTCTACTAGTAGTCTAGTACATGTATAAAACTGTACAGTAAAAATTCGGACAAGTAAAAAAATTCCCCGCTTGTAATTTGTTTTGCGGGAGCGATTTCGGAGGTTTGAAGAGCGAATCGCGCATCGCTCCCGTGTATTATTTTCCTACCCTCTACATCCCCAGAGCACTGCCCTTGCACAAGTGTGTGTATTACCAACGTATTTTTAGAGGAGCCGTCTCGGTTTCTGTGCTATCGAGTTCTACGTGTGCTATTGTGATGCATCGCAGAATGCGTGGCCATGTCCAGAGCCTGTTATTAGTAGCAAACTCTCAGGTTACGCGTTTTCAGGGCAGCGAATCGTGGACCGTCTATTATTATTCCAGGGCATTATTCTAAAACAACATCTGGTATGCACAGAGGCAGTGTGAGGTTTGGTACAGACACTGATATGGTGGTGGAGATTGAGTTCGAAGAATAAAACGCATATGAAGGGCTGATGCATGGGAGACACCTGCGCACATAGAGAGGGTTTGGGAATGGATGGGATAATGCAAACTTGTGTGTCAAGTAGAACATCGTAGGGTAAAATACATTAATGTTTTGTTTTGTTTGGTTCTGCATGTAATGATGCATGTAATATGATGAGATGGACCATGAGTGCAATTTTTTAATGGAAATGCTGCATGAATTTTGAACAACGTATAAAATGATTGGATTAAAGGTTATATAGGCATATCCTGCAATACTAATGCTGAATTGAGAAGCGTGGCTGCTGAGTTTATTTCTGCATGTTCGGTTCAGCAACACGTGTGCAGTAAGCGTCTGTGAATATAACGCTGTTATTTCCATGGCTAGGTCCTTTGAGTCCATGTGCCGGCCCTAACAGCTGTCTGACTATAAAATTTGGTTGGCATATTGCCCTGTGCTAATAACGTTCGTGTGAAGGCTTGCCACTGAAGCCACGATGATATAGTGGCATCTCACAGAAAAACGCATTCGTAATTGAAAGAGAGGGATGCGTTCAAGTGGGAAGGGCAGAAAAGAAAATCATGGTTTGTGTTATGTTCGTGATCGATACCAGTCCCAGCTTACTCTGACATCCTGCTAGCCCTACAAGGTGTTGATTACTATAACAGGTAGATCTATTAAGCACTTTCAAACTGAACTTCAAGTTCAATTTATGAAAAGGTGAGACTAATGTTTGCATCTTTTAACGAATTGTCTTGCATGCACGTTTACCGTGTCATTGTATTGTCTCCTCAATAAGCAGTAAGCATATTGTGTAAGATTAGCAGATGATGTATGAATACATAATAGTTTATAGTGTGCACAGTTTTTTATGGTGTGTGATATGATTGCATGGGAGTTGGGAAGTCATTAAAGGGAATGTGACACATTGATGCACAGTGGAGGACTTGTTTTAAAAGATGCCGCTAATGGCTGGAAGGGTTCATTAGATAGACCTGAGTGATGGGTTGCGCGTGCGAGCACCAAGCTTATGGTCTCACTCTGTCATAAAGTGGAACATGATAATAAACGACTATGTTACGCAGGGAAGTGAGAGGGAGAAATTTCCAACGTTGAAGGCATGGTGGTCCAATGAGAGGGAGCAAAACCCAGCCCAAGTCATCGATTTCTTTGCCTGCAGGATATGCTGTCAAGATGGGATAAAGAGACACCGCACATTGTAGCTAGGGTTCTCATCACTTGATTAGTGTTGGACTCTGTCTCTTATCTTAATTTTCCTATCCCTGCATGTAATCTGTCTTTTTCTACTACGAATACGACCGTCTTCTGTTTTATTATTGTTATTTCTTCCTTTCCGACTATCGACACTGTGTACGTTAAAGTGTAACATTTTGTAGCCTTGACACTTTCCTCGCGTTATCAAACGTTAGTAGTGTTACTTCAACACCCTGCTATCGACACTTGAGTGCACTTCTAGATGAGAAATTGGGTAATGTCCTGGGTAAAAATGGGGTAAAATGTCCTGGGTATGAAATGGGGTAAAATGTCCTGGGTTATTAGACAAGCACATCGCGTTGCTCACTGTAATATTGTATGCACTAACCTATTGGTTTGGTTCTCTGTTGGTTTCTCATCAGGTGTGCAGGCACTGGTATCGAGCTTTCTATGCACCAAGAGCGTGGGACACGTTTGTGCTAGAGGATGACATGCTGTGCACAAGGAAATTCCTCATACACACGGGCTGGAACTACTTTATCAATCAGTACAAAGTCCAGGTAAAGACCCCTATCCCTTTACTCAGAGGTGAGGAGATAATATCTATACAATTGGTAACAACTTGTGTGAAAAGATCGAAGTGTAATCTTGTAAACCTGTGGTAATAAATGTGAATATTTGTGAAGATAATACTTGGTAACAGTTCACTAAATCTGAAATTAGCCCGTGAACCCCGGGGGGTCACTATATATGCCGGTATTACCCCATGTGCATTCTCACTAAAAATAATAGGCCCCCTAGTGCGAACTGCACATTGGAAAACCCTACCCCCTATTGCAGACACAATTGAAGAATACTACCCTCTATTGCATACACAATGAAAATATCCCACCCCCTATTGGATACACAATGAAAATATCCCACCCCCTATTGGATACACAATGAAAGAGTCCTACCCGGATCCCTACCCCCTATTGCGAGGTCTTGCAGACAAGTGGAAGGCAAAGAGTGGAGGGAATGAATGGGGCCCGTGAGGGGGGCCTACTGCGGGCGCGGTGCTTGACTTGAACGATCCCGAGGCCTTATTGCGGGATTAGCTTTGTAAAAGGGGGCCTATTTGTTCTCGCGCGGGCACCGTAGTAGTAAGTTTGAAAAACACCCCCCCTAACCCGAAAAATTTGGAACGCCACATGGGTAATACGTGGCATATTAGGTGACAGCCCCCCCCCCCCGCGGCAGTGAACTTGGTTCCTTGTTCTGTTCCTGGGGTTTAGTACAGAGACCTGCCTTGCAATGGATCAGCAACCATAAAATAATTAAATAATTATAGAGAGAGATTACTAGATCTGTATTTTCTGCCACACTATTAACTAACTGATTATTGCGATCAATAGTTCCCACCACTTGTTCTGTATATGAAGTCTCTTACAATGCTAACGCAGGATCCGTCTAGAAATACCTACGACAGAATAAGATAACTTCTGTGATGTCCACTAGCTGTAGTCAGTTAGCCTCGCACCTCTCAGCTATTGTGAGACTAGACTGGTTCCTTGTCTCTTTTGTCACTTTGTTTGAATAGAGATAAAATATGTGCTAATGTGTTTATTCGTTGAAGTGGACAACCAATGATGTCTGCCCGCTTCATTGTTTTTCTCACCCTTTAGACGAGCGGGCAAACTATGATGTCACACAAACCTTGGATTCTATTTATTTTTTTGGTAGAGACCTCAATAGCAATGTAGAATAGTTGCAGAGTGCAATGAACCGTTCTGTTGTTGAAATGTCAGGCAAATCACAAAACTATACGTTGGCCATTGCCTGCCTATTTTTCCATTTAGCTGTTTAGCTATTTAGCTATAGAGCTATTTAACTATAGAGCTATTTAGCTATTTTGCTATTTTTAGCTCATCTGACATAGTCAGATGCAGCTTGTAGAATCGCATGAGGCGTTCGTCCGTAGCGTCCGTCACAAGTTGGGCAGCAAATCTTAAAACCGCTTGACCGTACGTATCAAAGGTCAAAAGGTCAAGCAGGGTAAAAGAAGGGGAAACATTCCTTCCTTAACTTAAGGTATAAGGGAGGAAAGTGCAGAATGTGCGGCAAAATCTATAAGCAGCTCGACTAGGCTCGTGATACGTCGCTGTATTAGCATCCATGTGTAGGAAAGCCATCACTGTGCCGAAATCTGGATGTCACAGTACAAAGTCAATGGGACACAGGGCAAGATTTTAGACCGATTTTCTTGAGGAAATGGTACTAACGGAGAGATTGGAAAAAACTTTTTGTTTCAGCGGTGACGCTGCATTTATGGCTTTATTGAAAGGACCATGAAATGTACTTTCTGCTGACATGTGAAGAGTAAGTGTCGGATAACCTTTTGACCCTCAAGAGGAGGGTTAAACATGGATTTGTTTACTGTCTGTTAGAAAGAATGACTGCCGGGTTTGCTAGTAGAATCTATACATGCCTGGATGTATGAGGCTACAATGTCACAGTGAAATTTCCAAAGCTAAATTTGGTTGGAGAAGGTTTATGCTCCTTAAATCGTATAATTTCTATGGCATTCTGTACTGTCAGTGTGTTACATGTAACGTATCACAGTGGCTACTGCCAGTGCATGTGGTGGTGATATTACTGTGTAGTTTTTGCCTGCGTTAATTAGTTACAGGTGGCAGCTCTCTATGCTGTATGCCTGTAGGCTTGCGTAGGTAAATGGATGAGTGCTTACCTATTCGGTCTTGCAAATAGTTGTTGCTACTACGTACGATGGGAGCTTCCATCTTTAATCTTAAGACACTTAAACGTACGCGCCTTCTCGTGGCAACTTTCATAACGATTCCAACGAACATTCCTTTGAGAAGGTTCCTGATACCATCCCTGTGCCTTCCACTGTTTCGGCGTGTATTTGGGACTAACAGGGTTTACTAGAATCCCACCACTCCACCACAGAGTCACCGCAGTAGACGTTAGATGAGCGCTGTCGCTCCGCGGCACTTGTTGCTTTAGCTGTTTAGCTGTTTTGCTATGTAGCGAAGACACGGGCAACAAGTTAAGCGTTAGGCGGGCACAACGCGCCTAATCCGATGCAATACTGCAGCAACTGCTGTCCGCTTTCTCTAGATGCTGCTAAATCGGATCGCTCACAACTGGAAGCGCCTCGTCATCCAGCCGATGAACAGTTTCTACAACATGTACGAGTTTGTCAGCATCACGTCGGGATGGATCGGCGCGTGCAACGAACGCGGCATCGAGAATCCCCTGCCGCAGCTACGGTATGCAGTCTCAGTGGTAGAAATGAACTTGTGAACAATGGAGTCCAACGGACTCCTCGCCTTCAAAAAAAGGGAGTCCGCAGCAAAATGAGGGAGTCCGCAGCAAAATAAGGGAGTCCGCAGTCTGAATTAGGTTCAAAATTAAAGATATTAACAATAACGCATGTGCTTATTTGGAAGAGGCATACATGTGGTTACTCGTCTGCCAAATTTTCTTGGACATTTGCTGAAAAAATGCCGTGCTCTGGAACAAACTAGTTACTGTTAGTATAGCAAAATTTTCAGGGAGTCACACGGACTCCTGCATATGTCAAATCGGGGAGTTCGGCAGTAAATTAGGAAGTATTTGACTCCGGACTCGCGCGAATTTCGCACCCTAGCTGAGTCTTCATGAAAAACTTTTTGAGCAACTTGCTCTTCGGGCAAGTGTTCTGTGAAATGTACATGCCCCAATGACATTCTAGTTGGCAATATATATCGCAGGAAGGTATGCAGTCTTCACGAAAAACCTTTTGAGCCAAGGGCAAGTATTCTGTAAAATGTACATGCCCGAATGACATTCTATATTTTGCATTCTATTCATAGATTTTGCAGCAATATTTTTGGAATATCAAGTAAGGAAGGGTACAGCAGACAACGTCTAGATGCCATTCGTTTCCGGTGTTAACATTTCGTAATTTTAAGTTACAAACCTTTAGTTAATGGCCAGTTGTATTATAGTTTATGCGTTTTTAAAGCAGGAGCCTGTCGGGTAAGTGAGCTTGCAATGCTTACATGCACGCAGAGATTTGCATTTTTGGTGTGTACATGGACCTATGTACCTAGAGGTTCCTATGCAACCTCTATGTCAACACGGAATTTCCATTTTTTCTTTACTTTGAAACGGAATTCATGATTTCCCCAAACGGAAAAGGCAATTTTTTGAAACGGAAAATCACTGTCCCTATATTAAGTCGTGGCCAGAGTGCAGGACGTCACTGCAGGAGAAAGTTAGATGGCGTGAAGCGATCACCTTGCTCACACCGCATGCATCAGGGGGAATCTGACGCTGTTTTATGTTGTATCGTAATCGCAGCGGGCGACTGATTCATATTTCAAGCACTTGTCTTAAAGCCTTAGTTCAACCCTAAGGTCACTGACTGGTTCGTCGTTATAGGGTCTTCATGTTTTGTACAAGTGTTAAGTCACTGATTCTTACTTCGTTACAGGGTCTTCAAGTTTTGCTTCTAGTGTAAGGTCACAGTTTCGTTTCAAGTGTAAAGTCACTGAATCATACTTCGCTACAGGGTCTTCAAGTTTCGCTTTAAGTGTAAGGTTACAGTTTCACTTCAAGTGTAAAGTCACTGACTCATACTTCGTTGCAGGGTCTTCAAGTTACAATTGAAGTGTAACGTCACAGTTTTGCTTCAAGTGTAAGATCACTGATTCCTACTTTGTTACAGGGTCTTCAAGTTTCGCTTCAAGTATAAGGTCACAGTTTTGCTTCTAGTGTAAAGTCAATGATTTGTACTTTGTTACAGGTTCTTTAAGTTTTGCTTCAAGTATAAGGTCACTGACTCATACTTCATTATTGCAGGGTCTTCAAGTTTCGCTTCAACTGCTGCGACACGAGTATCTTGGGCGGTCATAGCACGCTCGGCACGGGCGGAAAATTCCTCGAGGAGCTGTGCTTCCTGCTTCGCCGCTTCGTCGGTCTTCAAGAACTCGAACTGCAGCATCTGCTGCTGGAAAAACGCGATGCCAGCACGCTGCTCGACGACACACTCGCGAACAGTGGCGACACCTTGCGGACGCTGCGCGTCATCGACTGCGCGAAGGTGCCGCACCCGTTCCTGCACGTCGGCCTCTTCTTCAACCTGCGCAAGCTGATCATCTCGCCGAACCACGTCGACGAGGACGTCGTGCACCTGCTGGGGTTCACGCGCGTGCGTCTCGTCGTGCTCTACCAGGACGCGTACACGTGCCAATGCCCGCCGGTCGCCTGGGACGCCTGGAAGAGTCTGAGCCGGCAGGCGCCGCGTCTGCGCATCGAGATGACACTGGTCGGGCGGAGTCGCACGGAGATGGTGCTGCAGCCGCGCGCGGCCGTGCGCACGATCCTGTACGCGAGTCGCTACTCCGTGCTGCGCATCGACACGCTCATGTTTATCGTCGAGAACTACGCGCGCACGCTGGAGGTGTTCGGACACCAGCTGCTGCCACGCGTCCACCGGCCGAAGTCGTTCCACGACCGCGCCGACTCGGGTCTCGTGCTGCTGGCGCGCACGTGCACGCGGCTGCACACGCTCATCGTACGCGAGCGCGTTTCCACGGCAACGCTGCTGCTCATCGCCTCTTACGGCGAGAGTCTCGAGCATTTCCTCGTGCGTCGCAACGCGGTGATCCTGCGCAGTGATTGGCCGCCGAACCCGATGTGGACGGACGATTACTACGCGTGGTTGAAGGAGTCTTCGCGGTCGTACGATGCCGTCGAGCGGGAGGTGTCGGTGAAGCTCAGAAGGCCATGGAAGATGATGACCGACGATGAGTTCAAATGGATTAACTTGATAAATGCTTGAGCTATTTAGTGGGACGGGGGCGAAAGCAGGCAGACTTTGTGTTCTAGCGCTCATTAGTACAGGTGCTAAGTGCATCTGTCAGATTGTGCTTCACGCTCACACCAGTTTGGGCTTCATCCTACGAAATGTCATGCAGAAAACGAGGTGCGATCAGTGAGGTTTGCCAATATAGTCAGATACTGGTAGCTCTTGCAGCCTACTAATGTATAGTATCATGTATTTTTGTTTGTGTGGGAAATGGGGCCTACACTCTCAATAATGCTGACTTTCATTGGTCTTCCTGAGGTGCACAGTGTACTCTTTTGTATGACGTTTTATGTTTCTATGTTTGTGGAAAATACACGTGCAGTTTCTCCGTTTGCAATGACACTAGGGGAGTTCACAAGCTATTACGTAAACAAACGCAAGTTATACAAGTTAATCTCCATTGCTGAACATATTGTTGACTGTGTATTGCGTACCTGCGTGCCTTAAATGATTGATGGAAAGATTAGAGGTATATTTGTTTTGTGGTAGTGTAAGTAAAGCGGAAGAATATGTTTGCTGTGATCTCGACATATGAAGGTATAGACAACAACCGATTTAATTATCGTAAAGTGTTCTTACCATTGTCATCCTATTATAACTTTGTTTTATACTATCAAATGAGATTTGTGTGTCTAGTCATTATCTGGTCATTTTATATCTAGTCAAGAATTGTAGAGCTTACGATATTATGTCTTGTTGTTATGTTGTTATTAAATATATGCTTTGTACAAGCTTGAAATAATTCACTGTAAGCAATGCTTTTCATTCATGATTACGAATTGTCAGGTATGCAGGAGTGGTAATGACTGTATATATATATATATATATATAGTATCATGTAACGTTTTTCGCGCCACGTCACGGCAGGACGCTCCACGGTTGTCGACACTGGATGGTACGAGTCCAACACAAGAACAAACAAACAACTCAAAAGTAAAAGTGTTCACGCCGGGAATAGGGAGTAGGCTTTTATTCTGCCCTGGTTGAATAAAAAGGATCAAAAAGACCAGGATGAACATAAAAACGGTGCAATACTCTGCAGCGTAACGCCGGAGTATAATAACAGCATGCCCAACTAGCACTAGCCTTACAGGAGATTCTCTGTAGGAGCATGCAATTCCCATCTTGGGCGAGGGCAAGGGCCAAAAAGTTAGGTATTTGTACCCTACAGCCAACGACTAGGCACTCTCTAATTATACAGGTCTACTGACAAAAATTTATTAGAGAACTCTATGCTGAGATACCCCCTAACCATATTAAATGCATATTCATCACAAAATATAACTCATTTGGCGAGATATTGCACATGCGCTAACACACTAACGTATCCAGATTGTGTACTGTCTGGTATATGCAGCGGGGACCTTACATGCAAGATCTTCCTCCTATTTCTCAAGTGATGTCTACTGATGGAATGTTATCATATAAATCTATGCGAGGATAATTCTTTTTCATTTTAAATGTATAATCTTTGCAAAATATTCTTCTTCTCGGGAGGTATTATGCATGCGCGCGCACCGTTTCACGCGTGCAGTACCATCTGATCCAAACTTCATAAGATAGCTTGCTGGGGGAGAGAGGGGCTGGGGAACTGAGCAAGGGTGGCAGAGAAAATAGTTGGGGGCGGTAGTAGAAGAAGAAGGCTGAGCGAGGGACAGGGGAGGCAAGGGGAAGGATGCGTGGGCAAAATGTAGGTATTTTGTACCCTACAGGCTAGGGCGCTCTCCTAATTATATACTCAGGTCTACTGATAAAAGCTTATTAGAAAAATCTATGCTGGGATACCCCCTAACCATATTAAATGCATATTCATCACAAAATATAACTCCTTTGGTGAGATATTGCGCATTCGCTAACACACTAACGTAGCTAAATTGTGTACAGGCTGGTATATATGCAGCGGGGACCTTACATGCAAGGTCTTTCTCCTATTTCTTAAGTGACGTCTGATACTGATAGAATGTTATCATGTAAATCTATGCTATGATAACTCCTCTTCATTTTAAATGCATAATCTTTGCAAAATATTATTCTTCTCGGGAGATACTGCGCATGCGCGCGCACAGTGTCAGGCGTGTAGTACCGTCGGAATAAAACTTTATAATATAGCTTGCTGAGGGAGAGAGTGGGTGGGAGACTGAGGAAACGCGGCAGAGAAGATAGTTGGGGGCGGTAGAAGAAGAAGGAGGTTGAGCGAGGGAGAGGGGAGGCAAGGGGAAGGATGCGTGGGCAAAAAGTAGGTATTTTGTATCCTATAGGATAGGGCGCTCTCCTAATTATAAACACAGGTCTACTGATAACTATTTATTAGAGAAATATATGATGGGATACCCCCTAACCATATTAAATGCATAGTCATTGCAATATATACCTCCTTTGGTGAGATATTGCGCATGTACTAACACATTAACGTAGCGAGATTATGTACAGGCTGATATATGCAGCGCGGACCTTACATGCAAGGTCTTTCTCTTATTTTTTAAGTGATGTCTACTGATGGAATTTTATCATATAAATCTATGCGAGGATAATTCTTTTTCATTTTAAATGTATAATCTTTGCAAAATATTCTTCTTCTCGGGAGGTACTACACGCCTGACACTGTGCGCGCGCATGCGCAGTATCTCCCGAGAAGAATAATATTTTGCAAAGATTATGCTTTTAAAATCAAGAGGAGTTATCATAGCATAGATTTATATGATAACATTCTATCAGTAGAAGTCAGTCACGTCACTTAAGAAATAGGA